GGTTGGATTCCTTTACAATCTTCTGTGGCAGTAGCTATCTGTGTGAACGAGCGGCTTTTAACTCTGTCTAGACCATGATGGATTTTGTTAGTATTTGAGCGCGTGAAATCCGCAGCGTGCACTTTAAAATGCTTCCCGCGGAATCAAGAATGTTTCTTACAGTTCTAGGGTCAGACGTGAGTAATAATAATTGCAACAGCGGAGAAGAAGAACAAATGGGTATGTAGAAAGCAAGTGTCTTGCCTCTCAAGGAGAAGAAACCTTCTAGGACCAGCAAAGGATTCGGATCTAGCAGCACATCTCCCACGATCAAGAGAACAGGTCTCAAACCAGATATCTTTCTCTGGTCAGGAACTGATGCCAAGCTCTTCCTAATCCAGCTAACTGTTCCATACGAAAGTAGAATAGATGCACAGCACCAGTTCATATGGGCACAACATGAAGGTATCTCTAATCAACTCCAAGAAGAGGGTTATAGCTCCAAGGTCATTCCAGTAGAAGGGGTTTGTCCAGGCCTCAATATTCACACTGCTGGGGCACTTTTCCTCAAAGGCAGGGGGAAAAAATGCAGCTATTATGAACATTGCAGTAATGGCAGAGAAAAGTTAGAGCTGGCTGTGGACGAATGAGAGAAGGACCGCTAAAAATAAAACAGAAAGTAGATAAGACATTCCCTCAAAAGTTGTAGTAGATTTATTTTGCTTCGCATTTGCTATTACCACTGGAGTCTCCGTGGCATTGCGTGTACATTCACGGGCTGAAGATCGGGAGATGCCACAGACCTAGAGGGTTTGATCCTTGACCAGCAGCGAGAAATTAAAAAAGAAATTAAAAAACAGCAGGCAAGAGCTTGGGAATCATGACGTGAGAGTGGTCCAGCCCCCTTAGAGTGTCGGTTCCTCCTTTGTTTACATTCATAACATACGAGTACATCTACAGCACCCCAGCAAATGCTTATTATCTAAGATCAAATTGTATTTTATTGCATAAAGCATTTATTTCTAATAATATGTTTTCCTGTTAGTTTTCTATAAAGGTGGTTAAATAAATCGTAAGTAATTGGGAAGTTTTTTAAATGCTGACCCCCCCCCCCCAACAAAATTAGCTGTGTACAAAAATGGAACAGCTGAGCTTAAATACTGAACTACGGAAAGCATGGCCATGGATCGAATTCCTAAATTTTCGTTCTGAATTAAGGTTGTTTTGGATAGTCTGTAAAAAAAACCCAGCTCGTTTGTCCACTCCGCTCGATCCTATCACAGATTATAGCCTTTAAAGTCGGAAGTTCCACCTTTCTATATCCCCTCCTTACAGTGTTGACATGAGCTTTAAAGCTAAACAATGAGCAATTGTAAGGCAAACGTTTTTTGCGTTTGGTCATTTTGGTGGGGGGGGGGTGTGTTTGTTTGTTTCTTTCTTTTGTTTTAGGGGTGGGTTTTTTGGTGAAAAGAAACACATTAACACCATACCAGGTTCATTTGCTGTGGAGAAAAAGAAAGGCGGACAGTCATAATGGAAAGGCGAATACGTAGGACAAAGCATTGACACCCACCAACCTCCATCTCTTAACATGAAAATCTCAATCTTTCACCTTTGTCTACCTCGTAAAAACTCAAAGGAATCTACAGAGGGGCGCTTAATAGTCACAGCCCTTACATATCATAAAGGTTTAACCACCCCCTTCCCTCGAAAGACTCCTCATAAGGCCAAACTATCATAATGTAGCTTAATGACTGGAGAACAGTTCCTCAGTTCAAGCACTTCAATTACGTGCCACATGTACAAACAACATTTTGAAAATTACACACTTCATTACGAGACACAGTGAAAGATGCCCGTGTTCTGCCCTGGTCCAAAGACACGTTTGTACCTGAGAATTACAAAGTTCTATCTGCTCAGTACCTCGTTTTGAGAAATTTGATGTCAAAGTATTTGAGTTTCACAACATATCAAGCTTATTCGAATGCAATTCTTTGAAAATCTTGATAACAACTCCGAATAATAATCCAATTTTGATAGAGCAGACAGAACATTCAATTTCTGACCTCATGGTCTTTGTGATTCAAAACGGCCAATAATGTCAGATAGAACATTGTAATTCTGAGGTAGGGATGTGGCAGAACAATCGTAAAACGCTTTCAGGGCTTGTCTCGTCCAGCGCGTCAATTATTGTGGTGTCAGTGGTCTGTTGGTCGGGAGATTGCAGGTTCGGGGATCGAGCCTCAGGCCCGACGTTGTTTCCGTGAGAAAGGTACTTTACACGAATTTTCCCACTGCATTCGGTTGCGAATGGGCACCTGATCATAGACATCGAAAGATCTTGAGAGTATTGTAGTGTTTTAGCTCCTGTAAAATGGAAGCTTGCACTGTTATCTGCCCAGAAAGTTAAAATTGTTTCAGAATGCTATGAGGTCTGCTGGGGTAAAACTATAATATAAAGATTACAAAGCGCATAGAGCTCACAGTTGAGCGTGAATTTTCGTTATACAAAGTGCTGCCTTAGAATTACAAAGTTCTGTCTGCTTAGTATCTAGTTTTGAGAAGTTAAACGTAAATAAATTGAGTTTCATATGTCAAGCTTTTTCATATGTAATTCTTAGAAAATCTTAAATGGGACTCCGAATAATCTTACGATTTTGATAGGGCAGATATATCATTGGGTTTCTGAGGTATTGGTCCGGGTAACTCTAAAACGGCCGAAAATGTTAGACAGAACTTTGTAATTTTGACGTAGCGAAATGTCATCTGTCATATATATCATTATATAAAGAAGGTATTAAAACAGTTAACACCTTGTTGTGTTTCCAGAAAATATATATTATACACAGTTCAACGTTTCGCCCTCAACGGGCTTCCTCAGGAACATTCACAAAAATAACTGGCAAGAATCTAGATATACACAGGCTATAAAAACTAAAGTGCGTACATACATGTCTCAACATTTAAAGGAGCGGTGAGTACAAATCGCAACGGCCAGAGACAAGGGAACACTAAAGCCAGAAGTGGTAGAGAGAGAGAGGGAGAGGGAGAGGGGGGGGGGAGGTGCGTGGAAATAATGAATATAATAACATATATTGTCATATATATCATTATGTAAGCTTATTATTGTTAAATTCATACAGCACTCTCTTGGCGAAAGACGTATCAGTAGTCTGAACATTCTATAATTTGTTGTCGACGTATTGTCATTGCTTTCAACACTGTAAGGCCGGTCCCAGAGCGGCTCTGTAGGTCTGACCTGTAGCTCGCCTGGCTCGCACCGTGCAAATGAATGTATACATTATCGTGTGCTAAAGCAGCGTCGCTGTGTCGTCTGTTTTTTGTCAGCTGAGCTGCGCGATGCCTCAGACGTGCTATTCAACAGTGTTGTAAAAAGGGCGGACATGTGTCGCCTCGCTTCGTGTTTATTTTCGACTTAAACTCTTTACAGATCATCAAAATCAACAAGAAGTAAGTATTATTAGGTGCTGTACTATTAAATAATGATGCTAGCATCAACACTTGGCCACAAAATCACCCAGAAATGCACTTTATCATACTTTGAAACTTCGAATCAAGAGGTTGACCTAGTTTCAACTGTTGTCGTAGGCCAAGGCCTAGGCCTAGACCTAGGTGTGCTTCTCTAGATTCTAGATCTAGATCTAGCCTTGCATTGTAACCAATGTAAACTATCGCCGCGCGCAGCTGCAAGTGTGTTTGTGTGTGTGTGTGGGGGGGGGGGGGGGGGAGGGGCTGCACTTGGCACACGACGTAAAGAAGAGTTGTCCCGTCTTGGTATAATTGGTCTTGGATTACACAGTACCTAAATATAGCAAGGCAGACCCGTCAGTTGCACACCTACACGCGTCAACACGTGCGGCTGTGCTGAGACGCAGCGAGTGTACTTCGCGCTCGCTGAGACACAGGCGCCAACCCACAGTGCGGCTGTGCTGACACGCACACGGCGTGCACCAGGCCAGCTACAGGTCAGACCTACAGAGCCACTCTGGGACCGGCCTAATGTAGGGCAGATGAACGGTGAGCTGACCAGTTCAACAAGTGTACAGAATGTAAGGAGAAAGTCGTTGTTTTAAGAGATCTATCGAATGGACATCGTCTCGTTCTCAGCAGATGTTGGTTGGTGCAGACAGGATAGCGGTTTGAGTCTCAAACGACAAGTGATTAAAACTCACTGGTGCCTGGTTCTCTCCCCCGCCACCCCCCCCCCTCTCTCTCTCTCTCTCTCTCTTCCCCTCCCCCCCCCCTCTCTCTCTCTCTCTTTTCCCCTCCCCCCCCCTTCTCTCTCTCTCTCTCTCTCTCTCTCTCTCTCTCTCTCTCTCTCTCTCTCTCTCTCTTCCTCTCTTTCTCTCCTAAACTCAACCCCTCCAAAAGGTCAGAAGTGAAAGCTCTCGTATCATCAATACGTTAACACCCACGTCTCAACAAGGATTGAAGACATCGACCTCAGTGTCACGGCTGTAATGGTTAGGCTCCTCGACGTTTTACGCAAAATGCTAGGGTTCGATTCAGAAGAGGTAGTGTCGTGTACTTCAATTTTTTTTAAAGATGCCGTATCACACAAAATCAGTATATGAAGCCCTCCTCTTAAATGATCTAATTTGTGTTGATGGAGGCATGAAACAATTCTGATTCATCAATCATTGGTTTCACATAAGAAAAAAAATATTTTTCCAGGATCCTAGCTTTAAGAAAGTCCATATACATGTACATGTTTTTTCGTGGATATTGGAATAAAAAGGGGGGGGGGGGGGTTATAAATTTATGATAACAAAATCAAAACAACAACAACAAAACTAATTTTTTTAAAGGGTGAAAACCGAAACCATCGTTACGCAGAAGAAAAGAATGACTAAAGTCAAGTGCAGTCTTTGCCGATACGTCTGCCTATTATTTCTTACTTGGAAATGAACATTAAAATTTCAGTACGAGATAACGTCATTACCAGGCTATAAATGTCGAAAAATCGCATCCTGTTTGCACACGCTGTCATGTGAACTTTTCCTGATAACAACATTGTTGGAGAAGTTGGCGAAGACTCGTTGAAGATAACAGAACGAGAAAGCTGAAGACGGAAAACTATAAATTGGACATCATTGGACTACCCGCTGAATGAACGAGGATAGCACGTTAAAATTATACTACGCAGTTGGTGACCAGTGCAACGTAATTGACTGTTTTGTTGGTAAGAGTTTTACGGCGCTCGAAACTCACGGATTGAAACAGAGTCGCCAAGAGGGGAAGAATTCTTGCAAATAAATAACTGTTTTGTGTGTGTGTGAACTACACGGAGCAGCTGTTCGGGCTACATGATAAAGCCAAATGTAAATATAATAATAATTAATAATAATTGCATTTATATAGCGCATATCCATGCTCAAGAGCATGCTCTATGCGCTTTACAACTATTATTTGTAATATGACATAAATTGTATCAACCACTGGAATTTTACCTTGCAAAAGGACAAAACTGTGAATAATTGATCAAACCCCATCACAAATGCCATTTTATATAGACTACATGTACTTTACTCATGGCAAATACTACCGTAGAATTTGTCCAAGATAGCCACCCATTGTCGAAGAAAGGAAAGTGATTGCTTTATATTAGAAAAGCCCAATAAGGAAGTGGGAAGTGGTGAGTTTTACATGTGGTTGTCATAGGCAGGTGGGCGTTTTAAACAATGTTATAATCATATAGATTGTTTTTTAACGCCTGAGAGAAAGTGTAGTCGTTTGTACAGGTGATTGTCTTAGACAGGTGGGCGTTTTAGACAATTTTTCCATAATAAAATAGATTCTGAAGATGTCACGGAGAAAATGGCAAGTATTCATTTGTACAGGTGATTGTTTTAGTCGGATGCACGTTTTAGACAGCATTATCAAAATATAAATTTCTAAAAAAAAGAAAGAGGTAAAGAAACAAGTAGTCATTTGAACAGGTGGTTGTCTTAGACAGGTGACCGCTAGGACAGGTTCTACTGTATTTACCACGAGAGGGGTCCACGAATTCGTTTCTAATACAACAGTTGGCGATGGATTTCGGAACCGTCTCAATGAGAAGTCGAGCTGCTACAGTTATTGTGGTGCTATCCGTCTGTCTGACTGTTTCCAACGCAAAAGTGGACAACACCACGGGGACCAACGGGTCAGGGGTCAACCAAACACCTCCTGGAAACAACAGTACAGGTATGAGACATTGATAACAATAATAATAATAATAATAATAATGATAATAATAATAATAATAATAATAATAATAATAATAATAATAATAATAATAATAATAATAATAATAATAATAATAATATTAATAATAAGACCTCAGCTCGATTCCTGAAAGGGAAGAACTTTTATCTATTATCTCAGTCGTTTCGCTAGGACGCTCTGTCGCTCTCAGCCCGAATTATCCATGGCAGTCAGGGTAAGCCGCACTTCCTAATTTATCTGAACTGTGTCCACGAGGGGGTACAACATCTACTTTTAAAAAGTGTCAAATATCCACCAAGATCCAGCCCCATGGACATCACTAAAGATAACGTATGTGATTCTCTTGTGTCTCCTAACTATCAACTAACACCTCTGCATTTACATTAATTTTTTTAAAAGAAAGTTCTAGTGGGGAACGGGATAGATGGTGCCCACGTCCCTCGTGACTCACTGGAGCACAGGAAGAAAGAACTAACGCTAACATTACTTAAACGCAGTCCCACACCATCACCCACCACCACATCATGTCTAATATCATCAATGCTCTCAAATCCTTGAATAACATCCACATTACTTGAATCTCTATCTGTAATCGTTACACATTATAATAATTATGTACGTAATTCACTATTGGACTCTATCATACGTGCATTTTTCTTCTAACCAATTGGCGCAAATCTTATAGAAATGGGCAAGGGACAAAAGATTACACCACCACATGGTATACGAGATTCAAATGTCTATAAATTATCATCAAACCCCACGACAGAAACTGAACCTGAAGGTGTCATATTTGGCTCAGACGTTAATACTTAGTGTCCATTGGCACGATCAGTTCGGTTTGCTAGCCAGATTGAGGTCACAAGGAAGCTATCGACGCACAAACCGATTGCCCGACTCGCGATCTGAAAAAACCCCGCGATCAGACCCGACCAAACCCGATCCCATCCGCAATGGGCACTCTATATAACGTGTAATAATCCTCCATCCTTCACGATCACCAGCTGCAGTTCCACATCCTGCCACACCCAGCTAGTCCATGTTACTCTTTATCCACCTCTAGTTCTCCTGTCCCACATCCCTCACTCAATCCCCTCTTTCTCTACCGTCTGTATTATGAGTGATTTTGGAGTCACCCAAATATCCCCTGACACAATCATAGACATACAAAATTACTTTTTTTTTTCTTTCTTTCGCTCTTTCTTTCGCTCTTTCTTTCGCACTTTCTTTCCTTGTTTCTTTCTTTCTTTTGTTTCTTTTCTTTTCTTTCTTTCTAGGCATTGTTCATCCACTGCAGGGTGTAGCCTTTCAACAGCGACCTCCACACTGTTTTATCAGCTGTTTTCTGTGGTCAGGCTGTACCCATCTGCTCTTTGTTGTCCCCCCACTGTCTTCTTTCTGGTCATCCTCTAGATCTTTACCCTGTTCTTTGTCTCGATTCCGTACTTCTTTTTGTTCATCTTTTGTCTTTCCCTATGACCAAGTGATCAGGGAGATTCCAGAGTCACAAGTCTATCAATTGGTCTCATCCTAACAACCAGTAGGAGAGAATCAGGAGTCACAAAACTATCACCTGGTCTTTTTCACAAGTAGGAGAGAATCAGTAGTCACCTAACCATCAACAGCCACCGTTGTAAACACTGTCACAGCAGCTATGAGAGACCCCGTGCCCCATCGGTCAAATGGAAGTACAACGAAAAACGGTTAAATCGAATACGGTGAATCCAAAAACAGCGGTAAATCGAAGGAACATTAAATTCCCGCTTTTGTTTCCTTTCACTTATTGAGCAGTCTCTCTAAACTTAAAACACAGCTAAACCGAAGGAAACCCGTCGGTCCGCGGATTTCGGTTTGAGCCGACCTCGCTGTAGTTTTAAACAGAGCTGTACCCTGGTAACAAACACGCTCGTGCTCGCAAGACCGCTCGCAGTTTGAACTCTGAACTGTGGAAGAATGGAGAGGCTGTGCTTGTTTTGGTGCAATACGTAGAGAGCCGAAGCTATTTTTAACTTCCCGCTCTTGATCAGCTGAACGAGTTGATGTAATGAGAAGATGCGTGGCATTGTAATATGAGTAGACTTAGATTATTATCTTAGAATGGACAACTCCATGGGTCGTTGTGATTGGCTTTTGTATCGTATGTATGTAGCCTATGTTGTAGATGTTTTACACTCCCAACGACATAATACAAGTGTAGAATATTTATGAGACGGGCTAGGTTTACTTCAACCCAGTGTCAGGGGCAACCTGGGCTGAGAGGGAACAACGCCTCAGCAGAAAGACGTAGGTTCTCAGTAACTATTTCTCCCCCTACTGGAATCGAACTGAGGTCTTTTTGCGTGCGAAGACGAAGCGCTTGACTCGTGCACATTAAAAAAAACAAGAAAAAAACAGCCTTTGTGTCTTAAGAATAGCAGATCCATTATTAATTTTAAAGTGATTAGAATAGAGCAGTTTTCTTTACAACCCGAGTGTAAAAAGCAACCTTGCACTTTTTGTGCAAGCTTCTCAACGCAAATAACCAAAATCTTCTATGTACTGAGCCCACAGCCACTCGCAGGCAGGCTTGCTGAACTGTGTCGTGACGTCGCGACACAGTTCAGTAAGCCTGCCTGCGAGTCACAACTCACCGGAAGTTCCCCTGGCAGCGAGCGGCAGACAAAGGAAAACACAAGCCTGCTCGCAAACCCCTGGCGCAAGCCGTCCGCTGCTCGCAAGCCTTCGGTTAATCGAGCAAACTCCAGCTCTAGTTTTAAACGACAACAAAAACTTTGATCTTTCAGTCTCATCTCTCCAGTTAGCATAATAATAGAACAATTTAATACAGAAGGAATATTAGATGTAGCATTTTTTGGAAAGTTTAATGGTGTTTGAACTAAAATCCCCCATATTATGAAGAAGATTAACAGACCCCTGAACAAGAGCTATCCCCCCCAAAAAAAAAAATAAAAAAAAAAATAAATAAATAAAAAATAAAAAAAGTAATAAGAAGAGAAAAAAAGTCTTACTGAAAGGGAAACGGGACCATTTATTGTTTGTAACTTGATCTAATGTACACTTTTCAAAACGCAGGCGCACCTCAGTTTAATCTAAATATGTCAATGGGGATGTGGAATGTAATCTACAGAAACAACACTGTTTCAAGCAAAACAAAAGAACAACTGATAAGGGCTGAGGAAGTCACAACCTGAGCTATGTCAACAACCTGAGCTATGTCAACAACCACTCAAAAAATAAAAGAAAGAACTAGAAAAGGCACTTGAGCCTAAACGCTCGTAATGCTTAACATCTTCACTGCTGTGTCGAGGCATGTATATTTTGCTTGTTTCCCCCGAAACTGGTTCACTGCTATTTGTGAGGCATGATGGGGAAATCAGCCGATCGTCAAAATAATGAAATCAAGAGACCCGCATTTTTTTTTCACCCCTTTGGCAATTTTTATCGAATTTGTGTGTGGAGGTGCAACAGCGTGTAAATATATATCTCTGGATTATACTGAAAAATGTACAAATTTACGTAAGTTTGCAGTTTCCAAGGACACCCAAGTTCTGGAAATCCTCCAAAATTGGTGGCCAATCTCTCTCTAATTTTACCTCTGATTATAGCCCTTCCAGCCCCTGCCATTTTTGTGCACTCCCTAACCCCAGTCCCAGCCAATACAACGATATTTCAGAAAAAGAGGCATGCATTCTAAAAAGTGATGTAGTATCTTCGTAATGAGGTTTAGATAATAACATCTAGCATTATTTAAAGGTAAATGAACAAATATTATGAAAATTAAAGTTTAGTTAGATAAGATAATTTAGAAAAATGCGCAAATTCGGTACCCCCCGAAACTGAGAATATACGCTCTTGGGACGGAGGGAGGTACAAACGCTGCTGAAAATATACGCGCATGGGGTTGGAAGGGTTAGGCGACTGCCACCTCCCTCAGTCCCAAAATCTCGACTTCTATTCAAGATAGATGGGTTGTCCTTTTTTCAAAAATCGAAAGCATGACAAATAAACAAATGTTATGACAATACTAATAGGTCCTCTTGCCCGCAAAATTTGCAAGCAACCTATTCCACCACGTCGTTACAAATTGGTATTACTATTGGCTAATAGAGGAAGGTTTAGAAGATGTTTTCGCTTGTACGCTTGTACACTTGCTAACTCTTAAATAAGAGTAATGTTGTCATGGTTTTGTTTGAATCCGTCTTGAAAGAACGCTTTTTATTTATCTTGTCCGTGTAAACGCAGATAAACATCCCAGCAAAAAACGGGTTAAAGAAATGAGATAACAACACAGCACCGAGGTTGTATTTTCACTACTCTCTATGTAGGCAAGGACAGTGGTCAAGATCTGCTATTATGTCCCATCTTCCAGAACAGTTTACAACAGGGGAGGGAGAGGGTAATGGGAAAAGGGAGGGGGGGTAATAAGGAGACAAAATCTAAAAGAATGCCCCATATAACTCCCCCCCCCCCCATAACAAAACGATTATAATCAAAAGATTGGCTTTAAACATTGATATTCATTATATTATTATCCACTTTTGGCGTGTTTCTCCGGGATGTTGACGAATCTCTGTATTATACAAATAATACTCAATCACGTTGTCGTAGTCAATGGTTATTTAATTTTTATAAGTCATTTGACACAAGATTTTTTTGATTTCTGGCCTTAAAACCTAGAGTTGATAAAAACTTTTAAAATATTGATATGTTTAAATACCTGTTTTAAAACAAGTGTTTTTTAGACCATATTTGCCGCCATTCTGTTTTACTTCAGCAAATAATATATTGTATTATTTTATATGTTCAAGTACTGTCTATTTTAAATGAGTGTTCAACGCTCAGATTTTGTATCCTAACGGGATAGCACATTATATGTAGGATATTTTTAAAAATTCCACTTCTTCTTCTTCTTCTTCTTCTTCTTCTTCTTCTTCTTCTTCTTCTTCTTCTTCTTCTTCTTCTTCTTCTTCTTCTTCTTCTTCTTCTTCTTCG